GAAATAAAATTTAAAAATCGGTTAACTTTTTTTTTTTCCAGTGGCCCTAATCCTCTTCCGTAGGTTTTCCATTCATGTGCTTTTCTAATTTTTCCAGACTACCTGAAGAATCTGTCAGAAGACTCAGATGACTACAAAGACACTGAAGGTAAACTATTAGCTGTGTTTCATTTTGTCCCCTGAAGCATACAGAGCTCATGTCCCTTGAATATTTTTTTTCTCTTATGTCCAATTAGCTTTAAAGTAAAATATTTGGTATATTGTGTAAGAAAACGTGAAAATGTTCAAGGTTTATCTGAAAGCGTGACATAAAACACTTTTTAATCCAATCAGCTGCCCTCGCTCTTTTGAAAGAGGTGGCCACTCACGCCAATGACATCATGAAGCATGGGGTGAGAGCCGTATCAAAACATTTAAGGGGTTATTTGTATCCTTGGAAAGCCTATAAATGTTGCTGATTCGTGTTTGTTTTCACCCCAGGATAACTTAGAGAAGCTGATCCAGGTGCAAAATCGTCTGAGCGGCCACCACGTCATCATCCAACCAGGAAGGGTAAGTTTCACTCTGCAGATTGGTGTGTCTATCTGACATGTAGAATCTATCACTGTAATTTAAAGAAATCTTTGATGTTTATGCTCCAGGTCTTTATCAAAGAGGGTTTCCTGATGAAGTTGTCCCGGAAGGTCATGCAGCCCAGAATGTTCTTTCTGGTACTTTAAACAGCTACTTTTTTTGTCCTTATTGTTTTGGTAACAATCACTGTAAACTGTTTGTGTGCTTTTGCGTAATCGTCTGCACAATCAGTCTAAAATGAAGAGCTTTGCTTTCTGAATGCAGCAGAACATTTTGTGTTTTAAGTAACGCTGCAGCTTGATATAAGGACCGAATGTATCCGAGGCTTTGGGCTGTCATTAGATCAGAGCTCACTGCTTAGAAAATGACTGTTTTCAAATCACCATGGATTCCCGAGTGGCAACAGTCATCCTAAACTAATCCATCCACCTTTTAATTCCTCGCCTCTCTGTCCTGTATAGTTTAAATTACATTACCATATCAATATTTATTACTATAATTTCATATATTTAACTATTTATTAATTAATCGAATCATCTATCTGACAGCAATTGTCCTTTTTTACATGATTGATCGATCATTATGTGATTAAAAGCCTAAGATTTAATCCTGTTTGCCTGCTATGATTTATATTCTACCAGAGGTGAAAAGTCTATGAGAAAAACCTTTTTCACTTTATTCAAAGTATAAGTGTATTATACAGTTCCATGGTGGATCTATTGCATCCTTGACTCTCAAGGGCCAAAAAAGTAACAATCCCACCTGTTGAGAAAGAAGTCTTCAGTCTCTCCTTGCCCCAGCTGCAGCCTTTCACCGACGTCTTTATGTTGTTGGAAACTATTGGCACTAAGGCCTTTGGGTTTAACC